CGGGCTCGGGCAGGGCCTGCAATAACGTCCCCCGCTCATGACCGCATCACGTTACTAACTCCCCCCCCCCTTCCCTCTCGCTTTCGTGATCGCTGCATTCATCTGCATTTCAGCGTTACCGGATACACACCCCCACCCCACCCCCGAAGCAAAGCCCAATTTAACCCCTGAAACCTCCTCGAGTCACCCCCGTACCGAACTTGGTCAGCAGCCGTACCTCCGTGCACGGTGCTGTCGTGGTGCTGGCTGACCATGACAACGGTGGTGGCATCACTTCTGTGTCGCCTTACTCAGTCTACCTTAACCTCCCACGCGCGCGCCCCTGACCCAGCGACCTCGGTATCGTTATCGTCGTCCTCAGCTCGGCCTTCCTCCTCCCCTGGGGCGGCCTGGACCTGGAGCCATTGCCGCACCGCCGCCGAGCTCCACCCGAGTACCCTGTGGGGTGCTGCCGGCCGGCCAGCCACATAGAACCTCTTGCACACCACTGAGGACCCCTGGCATCGCTTCACGACGCATTTTAAGCTTTATCATAACAAGGAGGTACGTAGCCTTATATACTTCCGACGGTCACCGAGTCGCGCCCGTACCAAACGGTATCGTCGTGGTGCTGACTGACAATGGAAAGGATGGTTCTCAGCAGCCCGCCCGCCTATAACTCAGCGTACCTTAACCTTCCAAAAAGCACACCTGCCCAGCGACTTTGGTAGCTTTTTCCCTTCCTTCTCGTTAGGAGCGGACTGACGCCAATGACGCAACACCCGCCCCGCCGAGTTCCACCGATTCCACCCGAGTACCTTGTAGGGAGCTGCGGGCCGCACTTACTGGACAAAGACACTCGTGTCGCGAACACAGCTGCTGCGGCTCCTCCTGGGGCAGGTCGGGGCGGCGCGCGTTCACTGGGCAGAGTGGGTGAGGTTAGGAGGGCCCGGACGAGTGACGTGTGTCGACCTGGGCTGCCTCGAGCGAACTGATCTGTGGGCGAGGAGAGGACCACGCCGCCGGACTGACTGCCGCCGGACGAAGGGGAGGTTAGGGGCGGAGGGAAGAAGAGGGGGGAAGGGGGTCCGCCGCCGTCTGCTGCAACCGTTTCTCCCTCGCTCAGTTTTGGGCTCGCAAACTTGCAAAGAGGCAATCGGGGAGCTTCAGCTGAATCAGACGCAATCGTGTGAGCAACGTCAACACTTTATTGCTCTTTGGAATAAATTACAAAACTATTG